CAAATTGCGGCAAGCGGCAGTGGAGGATAGCAGTCTAGCGCCCCAACAAAAGTTCCATCCCGGGACCTCAAAGGGTCAGCAGAGCCAACAGGGCAAGGGACAAAGAGGCTGGGGAGACAGTAAAAATCCTGGAGTTCCTGGCAGTCCAAAGCCTGGAAGCAGGAGCGCACGGCTCCCAAATAAAAGGTGGGGTGGAAGAGTTGAAGGACATGGTCAAGCTACGAAACGCGAGGACGAGAGCAGCAGGCTCAGAGCAGAAACGGTCTTATGTTCTATTTGGACACCAACGACAAGGGCATCACAGCCGATCTGCTGGATGTTTCCAACAAGCGGAAGGAGCTGCGGGCCCAGGACAAAGTGTCACGCAGCTTGAGGGTGACACTTTGCCTTGCAATGTTAAAGGAGCTGGTGTCAAGACTGAACACATCTGCCTGCACGGACCCTGTGAGGGAAAGGATGGCCAGCAGCGGTTGGATTCATTTTGGCGACCAGCCTCTGGATCCGTCATGGACGTACTTGCGCTGATGGAGATCCTCATTCAGCTTCAGGTTCTCCTCCCAATGGATATGGTCCTGACAAGACTGCGCCCGTCAAGACCGATGGCCCATGGCTCAGGGCTCAGTCCCCCAAGCAGAGGTGCTGAAATTTCTCATGTCGCTGGGAATGAGGAGCGGAGAGGCCAACAAAACATACGCGTGTGTGCTGCAGCTCGGCCCTCAAGTTGATCGGCGTGAGGTTGAGGTTAGAGCGCCCAACAAGGCAGCCCATGGCCAAACTGCTTGAGGAAATCTTTCTGAAGTCCAATCTGTGCGATTGGGAGCTGATGTGCGATTGGGAGCTGAGGGAGGACTTCCGCAACTCCGGCCAAGCGGCAGCAGAGACAGCGTCGAAGTCGGCGGACGCAGCAATGGAGCCGAGCCAGACAGAGGAGAGCAAGTACGACGCATGCAATTGGCTTGTTTTGGTTTGGTGAATGTGCAGGTGTTACAGATGTGGCCTTTGGTTCAGCGAAGCCTGGATTGATGCTATTGAGGAGAGGTGGTGCAGTTTCACGAGCGCGTGCTTTGTCTTGGTTGCCTGTTTTACAACACTGGCAGGATATCGACATTCAGCATGATGCTGCTGAGTTCTTCAAGCACAGTATCTTGTTGCGCAGGCCGTTCCAGTTGCTTTCAATGGTGGTTGGGAATCCAGGACGGAGGTTGATGGCATCGCCAACATTGTTGACTCAGGTCCGGTATCTGTTCCTATACCGTTGCCACTGGCTGGTCTCTCATTACAGAGTATTGATGAGTGGGAGACTCAGGCTACTCCTCATGCACTGAGGTCGGACCATGGCTTCTTGCTACTTCAGCTCAGGCGGTGCAGCGTTGTTGGTGGCAATGTTTGCACAGATCGGAGGGGCATCAACATTCATCCAGGTCAAAGTTTTGGCATGCTCCAACGACAGCTTGGAGGACCATGTGCACATATAGGATCATCTTTGTCATTTACCACCTTGGTAACAGTGTGCTCTCAGGACATTATATGGCTGGGCTCAGCGCGCCTTCTCATCCTTGTGGACTGACAGCTCAGCAATGGAAGTTCCTGATTTGTGATGATAACTCTTCTCCTATGAGGGCTGGAGCAAGGGACATGCAACTCATTGCTGAAAGTGGTTACCTGGTTGGTGCTATCAGGTCTCAAGGGTAATTTGCCTGTGCTTGTGCGTGGCGGTACGCCGCGGGGAGCATCCCTCAGCATGCTTTCGGTGCCCCAAGGGACCAGCGATCACCGAAATCAGAGCCAGTTTGAAAGCCATCTTTCACATTTTGCTCGTGTTGCTTTCACTGCATTTACTCAGCTTGACTTTCATGGCACAGTACACAAGAAGTGGATCTGCTATGATGCTCGAGCAAAGATTTTTCAACCATTTTCATTTACCTTTGGGCCTTCCTTCGCAGGTTATGGATGTTTCGTCGGATGAGTCCAGTTATTCTGCTGAAAGCATGGGGTCTTTTGATGACCAAGTATGGGAGCATTTTGCTGGTCGCAGTGCATGTTCTCTTGTTCTGAGCATTTACAGGGAGAAGTTGCTTGCAGATGACCAGCTTTCGAACCGGGCCACCACGATGAGCTTGGATCAACACTGCTCTGTTTTGGTTGATCAGGACAATCTTGCTATCATGAACTGGGCTGAGCAGCGCCTGGATGCAGGGCTGGTCCTCGCCTGCTGGAATCAGCTTTTCAGATCTACTGTATCTGAACAGATGCGCCGAACAATCTCTGTTCTTGCTGGCCATCCGGATTTTCCTTCCAGACGTTGGCTTTTTAGATCACTGAGATCTCAACTTGAGATGACACGTTGTTCAGGTGATGATGGAAATGAGGAGGATCCATTCTGACATGCTTCTCATTAATGGTCTTTGTCTTTATCTTTGCACGCTCCCAGAAATCGACCGTTTTTACTTTCTGAGCCACATTCGCTCCAGACTTGGTTTTCCTCCGGTGTGGCCTTAAGAACAAGCACTGATGCAGAGTTACAAGCTTCTCTGGTTGGCGTATCAGTCAAGCTGTTGCGCTTTTCTGGATTGAGCAATTGGTTATGCTGCAATCAATGCTGACATGGAGTGATTTTTCCTGGAAGTGATTGGATTGGTTTTTCATGGCCTCATGCATGAATGGCCTTTGTCATGTTTTGCCGTGAGCGGGCTTCTTGATGTCTCACCTTTCCGCTTTGTTGTTTGTTGGTTCCCTGTGGGACATTGAACCGCTTGCATCTGCTTACTGATACGTCACGGGATGCAACCCTTGGGTGTACCAAGTACAGCGGCCATGAGCCGCCGAGCCTAGGCTTGCCTACAAAATGCTGGGCGTCTTAGTGATGCTGCGCATTCAAAGTCAACGTCACTTATCAAACAGTTCCCGCCCAATGAGCTGGCAAGACTTTGCCGGGCTGCATGCTCTCGTGCTACTGCTAGCTTTTGGTTGGCCATGGATGTACCCACAAGTTATGAAGGCGGTTTCCTCTGCTGGAGTCCCGCAGCAGCCTCCAAAAGCCAGTCAAATTCAATTCAAAATTACGTCTCTTATCCTTCCCCGTTCCAAGCAACTAAAGCTTTTCTGTTGCAAGCAAACTTACCTTCAGCGGTAATTCCCCAGAAAGTGATTGCTAGAATAAAATATTGGTCAATGTGGCGGTTGTAAAAAAAAAGAAAGCAAGCGCACTTCAACGTGTGTTTCTCGGGTCTGCGGAGGGCGCCTGCTCCGGGCATTCCAAGCGGCAGGGGGCAATCTATATAAGCCAACACTCACTTGAATCTGAGCCCTACATCACGTTTTTTCTGTGCCGAGTTTAGACTAAACAATATCATGGGATGGTGGGAGCGTTCACACGCTTGCCTATGTTCGCTGCAGTACATAGGAGCTATGGCTCTTGCCAGCAATGTTTTTTGGCTAGAGGCCAGTTTCCCATCTTTGCGTAGCGGCCACTTGCCTGCCCGCTACCAGAACATTTTTTTCTTGCATCATGGCTTGCCCCCGCCTGCGTTCGCAAGATTTTGGACCTAGCGGGTCGAGGTGTCCATGACTTTGCGTCACAGGCTTCAGTGCAGATGGTTCACTGCAATTGACGGCCTTGGACTGCAATCACGGCTGATCCCAGCATTCTCCTCATGCACCCTTGATGCAGCTTGCTTAGGGCTTAGGGTGACTTTACGAGAAGCCTTGACCTCAAAACACGGCAGCCTGCTCCACAGCTAAGTCATTCCGTAAACGCAGACACTCCGTGGACCACTTGCGCTGAACTTTTCATTCCGGAGCCGCAAATCCGAAACCCGTGGCATGGCCTGAATCATCAGACCAGTTTGCTGGAATCCTTGCAAACGTTGGAATCTTCTCCAACACCTGGATGACACCGACGAATGTTCATGGGATCGACATCGATCCCCGACAGAAGCTTCTATGATTAGCTTCTTAGGTGATTGAGTCAACACCCGCTTCTTAGGTCATTGAGTCAACACCCCTATGTCATAAGGAATGCGCCATTGAATTGGGACGGTAGGCTGCCCTAGCCGCGCAGCATTTGATATCGAGCTGCTATGAAATTGTGATTCCGCACGCAACTAGTCAGGGCTCAGAGTTAGTTTTGGAACATTTTATAGGCATTCCATATTCACATGCGATGCATTCACTAGACTATAGAAATTTGGGCAGACTGAGGAGGGAGCATCACAAAATGACACCCTAAGCCCCAATCCCGCAGCACCATGTTTCCGGTTTGCATCCTCAGTATGCAGAAATGCACTGAAGCTCAAACTCCTGAATTTCATTGCGCAGCAACAGCTGCAGATGTACTTGCAGTTGATGCAAAGCTTGAGATACTATTCGTAAATCCCAAGTTACCCAGAACGAGTCCCAAATCCCAGACATGCAGGTCAAAATAGCCTGAAGATTAAACTCCGCTACATGCGGCTTCCTTCAAAACATTCGCTCATCACATGAAACGCGCATTCTGCGGAGGGAAAGCATGTCAAGAGTGGAGTGGAGTGGAGAGCCCGTAGCATGCCCGCCTCACGCTGCCGGGAATTCTGGGATTCTGGCTGGCGGCCAGGGGTCTGGCTCAATTTTGGTTAAGGTCTGCCAGAGGGTCCTTGCCACAACCTTCGGGCAAATTTCAGGAATGTAGTTTCAGGGTGTGAAATGCAACTGGAAGGAGTGTTGGACCTGCAGGAAGTACAGGCAGGATAGACGGATAGAGCGGGAACCCACATGAATCCAAACTTATAGCTGCATTCTTAATTAAAGGGCCTTCGGGAACCTGAACCACCACAGACTTTTAAGCCTGAGCGCGGAAATGGGAGGTATGAGGCACATGCAAGTTTGCCTCAGCAAAATGCCAACCGAAGGCGCTGGGTTTAGGCAGCCGCTTCGTGCTGGGCGAGCCAAGCAGCATGGGCCATGTGTAATTGCTACAAGTCGCAGGTGACAGCACACTTGCATGAGTGGATTTGTCTTCTGAGGTGGGAGTTCCAGCCGCAGCTCAACGCCTTGATCCACCTGTCGCCCTTCCCAAACGACCCTTGGCAAACTACATTCGCGATTGACGCGTTGGAACATATCGCCCCATACCTACTCAGGACCAGTTTCGCTGGCGGGTGATGGGTCTAGTTGGCATGACACTTGTGGGCACCTTCATCTGGGACAGATTCTGTGTCTTCCTTTTCGCGAAAGACATCTTCAAGGCCAGCTGCATAGCGGCTGTCATGTCAAGCAATCCATCTGGGTCTGCTGCTTTGTTTGCAGCACAAGGCCATGGTAGACTCGGCCAAGAAGACAACTTTCAGAGCTGACATAGTGCCGATCTTTGTCACGGTCCTGAAGGTTCGCAGAACCGGAACGCTTGTCACGTCAAGCGCTTTGACAAAAACGCCTCTCAAAAGTCATACGCAGATGGTTTTGGTCTTGGGTGTTGCGCACAACATCTGATTTGTGTCATGAGTCTGAGCCGCAATCAACCTGTAGATCAGTGCCGCGGTTTAGCAGGTTGCGGGCGTCTTCCTTGTCCTCGGTACGGGCAACTTGCTAATGGCAGGTTTGGCTTTCTGGATGTGCGCTTGCAGCACTGGGCGATTTCCAGAAAACGTGATGCTACATTACATCCTTCTGCTAGGTACCGGAGACACTCGCAGGAGTCTGATGAGTGAGGGCGTTGCATGGTGCTGAGGCCCATTTTTGCCGTAGAACCTTCCCCTTGCGCAGTGTGTCCGCTTGCGACCAGGCCGCAAGCCAAATCCTGAAGAGAGCGCTGATGAAGGGCAGACCTTGGCTTCAACAGAGTCACATGCCTCTGTAGGTCAGCCTTTGCGCATGAGAAGCCAGATGGTTTAATGCACCCAGATGGAGGGTAATGAAGCCAATAGATTAACTAACAGTCCAAGGGCTCGTTACCCGCCATCTGCCTTCCTGACCGAGCGTCAGGTACAAAAGTTGCTTCCACATGACTTTGCTGCCAATTGTACATCCATCCTACAACTCGAGATAACACCAGACAGCATGCAGATGCATTTGGTGGTCGACAGCCGCTTGGGTGGAGGTCCAGTGTGGCCACGTGGAGTGTAGGCCTGACAGAAAGTCGCAGCAATTGCAGCAGCCTTTTAACACAGCAGTCACACGCGACAGCCGGGGACAGTTTAAGAGTTGCTACAAGAATCGATGGGGCGAGCCAATTTGAATGGCTCCCACACCTCTCCTGAATGGCAAGAGCCAGGCTTGACTTTTCATCTTTTGACAAGCCAGATGCTCTGGGTTGGTGCTAGAGGAGGAGGATGGTTTTGGAGAGGACGCTGATGAGGATCAGCAGAAGACTCAGCTGGATTTGGATTTAGCCTGAGATGATGAGATATCTGAACGCGACTTCGGTGGCTCTTTCCAGGTCGTTTGACGACCAGGCATCGTTACATTCTGTCCTGTGATTGAGCAACTCGGGCTGTGTCGCACATCTGACAAGGTCCGCACGCCAAGATCAAAAGAGAAGTCCAGCAGACGTTGGAAACCTATTCTTTACTGTAGCTAACCTGCTGCAAGCTCCTGAAGCGAAGGTCGTGACAGCGTGTCTAGTGCCACTTTGGGCTTCGACGACTTGGATGACTTCTGCGCTCCAGCATCTCTTCAGGTGACTTCTGTGGCTCTGCATACTCCTGTGTTGCATTTTGGGGCAGCAAGCTGCTGTCGTCAATGATTATTTTGAAGGCAACAGAACATGTGCTACGTACACTTCGCAGGCCTTTTGTCCGATCAAATTCTAAAACGCCGTGATGTCCTGAGCGCAAAGGAGCATTCTGAGATACGGCGCAACTTCTAAAGGTGTGCTTCCGAGCCTTGTGAACTGGAAGCGGCGAGGGGCTTGCCATGTGGCGTACTTGCTGTGCAAGCATAAGGTGCAATTGACCCCTACGTGCAGGAGCTGCTGGGAGCTGCCAAGGCCAGGATGCCCCCAAATGCTCACGCTCACCTTTGCTCATGGACATGCTGGTTAACATGCACAAGTTGCACAAGTTGGAGATTGGCAGGCCCGAGTGGTCATGGCTGATGAGGGTCGTTTGAAGATGCTCATGGAGTCTGTGGATGACGCGGATCCCAGGCCTGGTGGCTGGCGGGGTCTTCAACTCTTCATGCTCTTCAGATAACCCTCTTTCTGTCTGAGGTCCGAGGAGGCGCCGTTTTCCAAAAGCGCTTTCCGAGACTGTTTTGGAAGATGCAACCTGTAGAATGGTGTGATGCGTGGAAAGGCCGGAAACAAAGCCAGGCCAGCCGAGCTGAGCAGAGCGGTGCAGAATTTCTTTTCGCCTTTCTTTGGTGCAGGGGACTCTTTCGAAAAGTCCATGCCGCGATGAAGCTAAAGAAGCATGAGGACAGGGACCATGCACGTACTTGGACCTCTGACCTCTGGGAGATGCTCGGCACTGCTCCGCCATGCTCCGCCCTTGTAGGAGGAGCCTGCTCAGGAGCCTGAAGAGAGGAGCGCGAGCATTGTCTGATACAAAGCTGGAGCTCTGAATGTGCTGTTTCAGAGGCAAGTTGATGAGCTTTCTGAACTCCCAAGTGCTAGCAGGAGGCGCGTCATGGCGCAGTCATGCATTTTGGGACGTTGCTATACATTATTGTTGCCTTAACATATCAGTGTCGCTACAGGAAGCGAAACTCTCGCCGTGAGTCTCGTCGTGGTTCTGCACAAGAGGCACTGCCTATCAGCAGCTTGAGCTAAAACCATGCGTTCACCAGACTTGTTCGGACCCTTGCGGACAAAATCCTGGACTCCTCTCGTGCTGCTTGTAGACTTGCAATGTCAGGCGCCCAAGCCTGTGGGACAGCCTAAAAGCCCGAAGAAAACGCGGCGTGCCTCTGCGAGTGGGCAGGACCATCTTTCAATATCTTACTTGATGTAAAGCCCACAGAGACCTAAAATGCAGCTGGTCGTGAGATGTCGTGAGGAGGGGTTTGTTATTCAAAAACGCCTGGCAGTTTCATCTCAGGACAAGCCGGAACTGCCGGCCTTGCCCACAAAGAAGAAAGCCTGAGCCAAAGAAACTCAAAACAATGCGATTGTGCGCCTTGCTGCCGTATCCTCCTCATCCCTTGTCTGAATCACAAAGTGACTCAGGCTGCACGCTAGAAGGCGTAGCTAGGCCTGCTTCCATCTGCATTTTCCGACCCAGCCACCCTGACCAAGTCAGATGGATTGGTAGTCCGCAGAAGGCACCAGCAAGTTAACAAGAGCTGTTTCGAACAGGTTGCGCAGGCAGATTGTCGTTGATGAGCGCTCTTTGATTGTTCGGCTCATCCAGACGCTTTCAGTTGGCAGCGGCATGTGACTTGCTGTAGTTCAAGAAAGTGCCATTACAAAACAGATCCCCTCTAAGACAAACGTTTCGCGTGACACAGGCCCACAGCAGCCTTCGCAGGAATTTGCAGCAAATAATTAGGCCGCCATTTGAACAGCTCGGTTGAGATGGTCCTGGCGTGCTGTTGAAGGCCACCAGGTTGATTGGCCCAGACTGCTTAGTGATAGCCACTTGCCATCATACCGCATTACACTTAAGGAGTCTTGCTGTGGGGTTGTGGCATTGTGGTGTTAGATGACATGCAAACTGCTACACCACCTGCAGACAGTTTGATCGCGCTGAAACGCGGCGTGATCCTTGGCGCGGCTCTGGTTCTGCAGGCCGGCTTTTGGTAAGACTGCTTGGTGCAATCCAGTTTTCTGTCAAGTCTATCCTTTTCTGTCAAGTTGGCAGCTGTAATTTCATACGAGTTTGTCTGCGCGGCTTACGCAGCAAGCTGAGGTGTATCCACATGCCACGATCTCAGCCATCATAGTTCTGAATGTCTGGTCACGTCATCTCACAGCGGCAAGGTCGTTCCGGAAAATGTGGTCATGTTTTGAGGGCCTTGGCAGTTTGTCAAGGCAGGGTGATCATTTTCATAGAGTGTGCATGTATGGTGGCGCAGGTCTGAGCAGAGGCATGCAGAAGTCAGCTTAGAGGAGCGGCCCGGTTTGCCGTTTCCACATTCGCTTCAGAGAATCTTCGTAGCTGCAGGACCAACCTTGGCAAGAAAACCTTGACCAAATGATCAATGAGGCTGCAGCTGCTGCAGCTGCGAACTGGCGTGGGCGTTTGTCCATGCGAGATGTGCTTGCTGCTACTAGCACATGCTGACTCCCAGGGCTGGAGGGCTGTTGCGGAAAGAAGTGCTGGGTGTACAAATGCAGCCTCGTGCCCTCACAGCCAAGCGTCACGTGTCGTCAAGTCCTTAAACGGAGCAATACTCCAGCCCAACTTTTGTACTGCATTAAGCTTTTTTGGTGGGGACAAGCGCTTGATGTCTGGCATCAACGACCCAACCTCGGGATTCCCAACCCCACCCTTGCTGGACCTAGTGTCCTGAACGCCAGACCTTTTGGTACAATATTGTAGCTGAGGGTATGACCCAGTAGCGCAAGGAAAGACAATGGATCAGCAATTTGACCTTGATCTTCTTGGTCTCCATACATACTCCACCCTGAATACATGTCGGGGGCCCAGAAAACCACTCCTGAAAAGCTTCGTATACCTTAATTACTAAAACCACTCCCCTCTTCAAGGTTTTTTTCACTAGTTTCGTAGCAAGATGGAACGCCTTGTGGTAGGTATGCTAAAACAACCTGTGGTTGCATTCGTGTTTTGTTCCCTTGATCGTGCGTCACTGCTGGAAACCATTTCGGCGGTGGAGCTTTCGGGGATGGCCTGTCTTCATGTCTTCATCATCATCATCATCATCAAGGGGTATCATCAAGGGTTATCATGGGAGTTGCCTGCCCTCGTGCATACTGGTTATCAGCGGGGCCTGAGAATGAACATGCGTTTACTGGTTTTCATGTATGTGAAGGAAACTGCTTTCGAAATGATTACATCGCGCATTCACATACATATCTATTGGTGTATTGTCTTGGTGGGCACTGTATCCGGGCACTGTTTGGAAGGCAGCCTGTACCGTTCAAAAAGTGGAAGCGTGCAGCAAAACGCTCTAGAGGCCTTGCTAAAGTAAGATGGGGCGTGAATTAACAAAAAGCCCGTGAAAACATTGGCTGTGGGTGGGAAGGGTCAAGACCACGTTTTCTATAGAGTGGCGCCCCTGATGTGCCAGCAGAAATGGGAACATCATGCTGATCAATTGGAAGGCCAGTATGAACATGACAGATCCAATTCAGCCCGAAAGGTCCTCTAATACTCGTCGCCACCACACCACGAAAAAACAGAGATAAAAAAGGCACATCGTTTGGCTCACACGAACCATGCACCCTTGCAATGAGTGGTTCAGGTGTTCAGACGAGGTAGCAAATCCCCAACTTCGTGACTGCCATTTTAAACCTATGCAGTACTGTGGGTAAGGTTATTGCCCAGAGAGCTCAAGTTACCTTACCTGAAGGAATGCGCACTAAATGACTTGAGGATTACGAGTGATGTGAACTCAGGTACATTGTTTCTAGATGCGGGATTCAGGTCTTGTATCCGGGACCGGGGTGTCCCTCCAGTACCTCAGACGATGTTGTGTAGTCATTATGTTTCACATGATGCTCTTTCCTGCCAAGCAGCTACTGCGGCTGAGAAACCATGGCAATCCATGGTACAACTGCAAATATAAAAAAGAAAAGGATTCAGATGGG